CTGAAGAGAGCGATGAGTTACTATTTGGATCAGATCATTAGCAACGACAGGCAGGACTTTCTTGGTTGACTAAGTCTACTCAAAAATCTCACTCATCGTTTTGGTAAAGGAACAAGGCTTTGAAGCACAAGTCCCTCATCTGTCACAAAAAGTTAAATTTTAGGTTTAAGGTCCAATTTGTAGTGGCTCATACTTTTTGCTCAGCAAAGTGAAATTCAACAACCAACCAAGCATATTGGTGAAAATACTGCTGATATTTATTAAGTGCAAAAAAAGTCATGAATTTGACAAATGTTCAGAAGCAGGGGAGTGAATCCGAACAAAGCAAACAGCCAGTTTTAGATTCTACAACATTCAAGTAGAAGACACAAAATAGCCACAGGATAATAATCACCAAACTGAATATAGATGCATGCATGAAGTCTTCCTTACCTCTTTCTTGCAGTGCAGGAAGGTGTGATACTTGTAGTGGTGGAGAGAATGATACAGACTGTATAATCGACAAGTTTCGATAGAAAGCTTTATATCCTGAGGAAGGTTGAAAGAGAACAGCTTAAGCACAGGTGTCTTCTTTACCAGTTCCAGAACATTTCAGCTAAACAGGAAAAATATCACATTTTCCTGAACTCTTCCAGTTATAAAATGAATGGTCTGTTTTTGACCCAGCAATCCACAGAAAGACTTTAAAAGTGCTTGGTTTATAGAGTCATTGTGAAAAGTAATTTCCAACTTCTTTATTTAAGAGAACCTATGAACCTTACTAGAGTTTAAATCAATATGATGTCCAAGCCATTGTTTTAATAGCTGTCTTCAGGTCATCTGCATTTTAGGTTCTGGTGTATGGTCATCTTCTTGACAACATGCCATAGATTTTCTATAGGGTTCTGGTCAGGCCTTCTGGTACCTTGTAGTGGTGAAGAGAGTGGCAATGTGGGCTGACACCATTACAGTTTGTGGGCAAAAGGAAGCGGGTAGATGGACATCGACTGTGGACTTCAGAAAGTCCAGTGGACCAGAACCAGCAGATGACATAGAACCTCAATCATCAGTGACTGTGGAAACTTCACACAGTTCAATCAGTGTCTTTTCCATGGCTGTGTAGCTTACTGACACAGACTGACAAACTGTGTAGTGACTCAGGAAACCTTTGCAGGTGTTTAGAGTTAGTTAGCTGATTGGTGTGAGACACCATGAAGTTGCATTATTTAACTTTTTCATAACAATTACATTTTCTGAGACAGGGAATCCTGAGTGTTTATTCTTTGTAAGCCAAATTCATCAAAATTACAAAAAAGGGCTATTTCACTGTATGTGTGATGATTCTATATGAAATTCACTGTCTGAAATGAGGGACAAAACAAGTTGAAATTCAGAATATTCTTGCTCAGGAAACTGAAAATGGTTGGACTCTCTGCTCAGTTGCTCAAAAACTTCTATA